TGTCAGAGCAATGAGAGTTATAGGAGGGTTATCTTTGTTCACATGAGCATAGATAAACCAACTAGGGAATGCCAATGGAGGGAGCTTGAAAATAGAAAGAGTGGTTGGGGAGACAGATGGTGTGCAATTGGAGACTGGAATGATGTGGCTAAAGTGGAGGATAAAAAGGGTGGAAGGCAGAGGTCTCAAGCTAGTCTGATGGGGTTTCAGAGTTTCATAGCAAATTTGGGAATGACTGAAGTCCATAGGAAGGGATATACTTTTACATGGGGCAATAACAGGGTGGCTGAAGGATTTGTGGAGGAGGCTCTGGATGTAGGTTATGCTTCTCTGGTATGGCTGCAGGACTATCCACTTACTCAAACCACAACCATGTTCAAAAGCTCTTCTGACCATCATATGTTACTTCTTGAAGATGAACCCCCAAATCAGCAAGCAAAGAGGAGATTCCAGTTTGATAAGAGGTGGCTATCTAGAGAAGGGGTGAAAGATGTTATTCAAGCTACTTGGGAAGGTCAGATAGGTGGGACACCAATGTTTAGCCTGAAAGAGAAAGTTAAGAAGACTAGAGTGGCATTGCTTAATTGGAGCAAATATTTCAGAGCTAATGAGAAGCAGCATAGAGAGAACCTCACTTTACAGCTAAAGGAGATGAGAGAAGCTGAAGGCCAGAGGAACTGGGAGGAGTGGGATAGGTTGCAAAAGGAGATGGATGAGGCTAATAAATCAGAGGAATTGTTTTGGCAGCAGAAGGCCAGAGTGGAATGGTTGAGAGAAGGGGAGCAAAACACCCATTTTTATCATGCTTGGGTCACCCAAAGGAGAAGAACTAATTCTATAAGCAGGTTGATCACTGAACAACAGAGGATTTGTGAGAGCAAGGAGGAGATTGAGAAGCATGTGGAATGTTATTATGCCAACCTCTTTACTTCTGAAGGTTCTAATAGAGGGGACAGAGTGATTCAAAACATCCAACCATCAATCATAGAGGCTGACAATGAGGAGTTGGTGGCAGAAGTAGAAGATGAAGAGATTAAACAGGCTCTTTTCTCGATGAACCCCAGGAAATCCCCTGGTACAGATGGCATGCCAGCATTATTTTACCAACACTTTTGGCCATTGGTAAAGTCTGATCTATGTGAAGCGGTGAGAAGTTTTTTCCAATCTGGTCAGGTACTCCCTTACTGGAATCATACTTTAATAACCTTGATCCCTAAATGTGCTAATGCTGATCAACTGAGCCAATTCCGGCCTATTAGCTTATGTGCTGTGGTGTATAAATTAATATCTACGATTCTAGCTGCCAGACTGAGAAATTGTATCCATAAATGTGTTAATGAAGCCCAATCAGCTTTTTTGCCTGGGAGGTTATTGACTGATAATGTGGTTATTGCTAATGAGGGCCTTCATTTCTTGAACCGACACAGAACTGGTAGACATTCTTTTATGGCGTTTAAATTAGATATGATGAAAGCATATGATCGAATTGAATGGTCTTGCATAAAACAAAAAATTCTTCAGATGGGGTTTGATTCCAGCTTTGTGAAATGGATCATGTCTTGTGTGTCTACTGTCTCTTTTTCTTTTATTATAAATGGTGGTACTTCTGGTTTTGTGAATGCCCAGAGGGGCCTTAGACAAGGAGACCCGTTGACTCCCTATCTGTTCATCTTGGTATCTGAGGTCTTATCTGCAATGATTACGGATGAGGTGGAGAGAGGGGTTTTCAGGAGAGTTTCTGTGGCTAGGGGTGCTCCGATTCTTTCTCATCTCCTATTTGCTGACGATTCACTGGTTTTTTGCAAAGCTGACAAATATCAGGCGCAAGTGCTATTGTCTATTCTCTCTAGATATCATAATTTCTCGGGGCAAAAGGTTAATACAACTAAATCCTCCATCTTTTTTAGTAAGAACACTAATGCTGCAACTCAGAGGGAAGCTTGTGCTATTTTTCCTAGGATACAAGTTCAGAAATCCTCTAGGTATCTCGGCATGCCTCTGGGGATAGGTAAATTGAAGAAAGAGGTCTTTAGCTTTGTGACAGAGGCAGTAAGGAAGAGGGTAATCAGCTGGAAGAACAAATTTCTGTTTGCAGCAGGGAAGGAAGTTCTCATTAAGTCTGTGCTCAATGCTCTCCCACTGTTTGTGATATCCTGCTACAGGATACCAGTGAGCATTTGCAAGGAGGTTGCTAGTATATTTGCACAATTCTGGTGGAGCAGGGGTGGAGATCATAGTAGAGGGGTTCACTGGAAGAGATGGGAGCTACTTACCTTGTCGAAAGAGATGGGGGGTCTGGGATTCAAAGAGGTTAGATTATTCAATGATGCCATGCTTGTAAACCAACTCTAGAGAGTAATTACACAACCCCATCTTATGATGAGAAAAATTCTAAAGTGCAGGTATTTTCCAAAATCATCAATATTTGAAGCTAATATTCCTCAAAACTCCTCATGGCTCTGGAGATCTTGGTGTGAAGTGAGATGGCTGCTGAGAGAGGGATTACAGATAGAAGTAAGAAATGGAGCCTCTGTGAAACTTAATGATTTTAATTGGGTGCCTGAGGTAAAGGGGAGGAAGATAGTCCTCAAAGAGGGAGCATAAGGGGATTTTTACATCCAGGAGCTATTGGAGAGGGATGGAGACAGCTGGGATGTGCAAAGGGTGCAGGAGCTGGTGGAAGAAGAGGATTGTAACGCTATTTTTCAGATTAGTACTTTGAATAAGCAGTTGGAGGATAAATGGAGCTGGAACATGGGCATTCAAGGGAAATTTTCAGTAGCAACCTCTTATAAATTTCTCCATATGCAGAAAATGCTGGCCCTGGATCTAGCAGAAGGGAGTGGCAATGCTAAAACAAATAAGAAGATAAGACAGAGGAGCTGGGGTCTTAACATCAAAGGGAAACTCAAACATTTTTTGTGGAGATGTGTTAATGATGCTTTGCCTGTTAAAGTTAATCTGAGGAGAAAAGGCATAGAGGTGGATGTCATATGCAGCTGCTGTGGGGAAGCTGAGGAAACAGTTGAACATGTTCTGCTTAAGTGCAAGAAAGCTAAAAGGGTATGGAAGCAAGCAATGGTTCAGTGGGATGGTCTGAAAGCTGAAGAGGATAAGTTTGCAGATTGGTGGGGCTCTGTATGTTCTATCAAGAACTCTGCAGTTAATGAAGCCAGGATTGAACTTACAACTTATATACTATGGTGGCTATGGAAGGCTAGGAATTTATGGGTTTTTAAGCATGTGTGGAGACCAGATCAGGGAATTGTGAAAGGTGCTTGGCTGGATTGACAAGAAGGCTTTTCTGTGAAGACATCACATAAGATCAGATTTCCATAAATAGGTCTGCTAGGCAGTTCAGTGTTTATGTGTATTTAATCTTCTGTGGTTGTCCTGAGGTTCTTTTTCTTCTTTGTTTGTTCTTTGTTGTTGTTTTGTGCTCCTTAGTAGTAGCTGGTTTGTGATCATTGTAGGGCTCAGATGCTTTCTTCTGCCTATGGTGGTTCTATTCTAGGTTCTTGGTTGTTTATTTAGCCTACCTTCCAGGTAGTGCTCTCTGGTGTAGCCCTCGGATGTGATGTTCTTGTATCAGACAGTTATTTTGCTATGAGAATTTCTATCGTTTGGAAAAAAGAAAAGATATTAGAAACCCTCTGTGGCATGGTAATGCTGTTGTTTAGATTAATTTTCAAGATTTTTGTTTAGTTGTTTGGACTAAGGCATTGTGACCACTAGGGAGTGTTGTTACCATTACCCATAATCCTTGTTTCAAGTTAGTTGGCCTTGTGGTTTGAGTACTATGTACATTGTTTTCATATTAATATGACAAGATTTATTTGAAAAACTGTATATTTCCATAAGTGGATTACATTCAGCAGATAACAAAAAAGTATCATCAAACAAAGGAAAATGATAAGCAGCAAGCAGCAATAATGAGGATAATAAATAAAAATTTGCAGTACTTGATGACTTGCACCTCCGTTTAAACCTTACAAAACATGCAGTGCAACCTTAATAATCCGGAAAAGTAAAAGGAAAAAAAATTTGTTCAACCATACACATTCACCTCCACATCAATCTAAAATGAATATGCATTGTTTAAAATTCCACATCAAACACCAAATCTCCGCACTGAACTTCGACTTTCCTAAAAATCATTATTGTTCCTTGAACTATTTGAGCATAATTGTTGAAAGACTTCAGTCCTGTTAAGACGTGTTTTGTCCCTTCTTTCATCACTTGGACGATCCACTGCTTACCAAAACGACGAAGACGAGCAGATTGAACTTCATCATATTTGCCCCTCAAATCTTGATTCCAGTAAGTAGATGGAATAGTCTGTTTGATATTGAATAAAAAAAATAGTGCATTACTACTTATTCAAAATTATTAGTAAAATAATACATCCAGGGAATTTAATCGTAGATCACTTAAACATAGATATTTGCAACTTCATATTTGTTACCTGTCGGCCGCGGGTAACAAGAGTGAAGGAAGCCTGTATGCGGAACCCACCAACAAGAGCTTTCTCTTCCATGTCATCTAATTCCTCATCATCTTCAATGGAAGGTCCCAAAAATGATCTAAGGTCTCTCCGAGAACAAGAATGGTCAAATTAATAGACAATGAACATGGTTGATCACGTCGGTGTACTCTTTGTGAGTTTTAAAGTTACTAAAATAAAATAATAACCGTGTGACTGAAAAAAATACCTGTTTGGGCCTACAAGTTCAAAAAGCAGGATGTCATTTTCTTCCATAGAATTTTTCCTCGAAAAGTCCTCCCATCCATCTCCAAACCCAATATTCTCTCCAAGACGCTTCATTACAACCTGCCATTTGAATGCATCATCCCCATTGCTGTTTTGCAAGGTGCATTCAATTGGAAGCAAATGTTCGACAGTGCGCCAAATCA